CGGCCGCGCGTCAGCGCATCCACGACTGGAAAGACCAAATCAGTGACGATGTGCCACGCCTTGCTAGGTGGATTAAAGCCCGCTCCGAACTGGATGACAGTGGGAGTTGGTGTTCTGACAGTCCACACCCTCAACTTCAAGCGGAAAAGTGTGCCAGGTCTTGGTTTAATTTGTGGAATCCGGAGACTTTGCCTGTGGATCAAGCGCTTGATCAATTCTTGGAATTTACTCCTGCTTGCCCGAATCCCTGGCCTTTGCCGTCTCTTCAGGGACACCAACTGCAACATTTGTGCCATCAAGCCATCAAAAAGGCCCCGGGGCTAGATTGCTGGCTTGCTAAGTCATGGGACTGTTTGCCACTTGATTTTTTCGATAAACTCGCCAATCTTTGGAACTCGTGCCTTCAAGGTGCCACTCTTCCACAACAATGGAAGCATGTCCGCATCGCTCTCATTCCTAAAAATGATGGTGGCATGCGCCCTTTGGCTATAGCTGTCATGGCTTGGAGACTTGGCATGGCAGCTGTCATGCGGGAACTTAGACAATGGACTCTTTCCTGGCTCTCTCCAGAACTTTGTGGGGGTGTAGCAGAGAAAAGTATCCATGATGTTCATGCTCATCTGTTCAGCGATTTGCAAACGTGCCGTGGCAGGGCTGCACACTTCGCAGGATGTAAAGCTGATGTGAGAAAATGTTTTGACTCCGTACAAGTTAGTACTGCCATTCGCATTTGGAAACACTTGGGGGCTCCACCTGGTGTCCTCTCCGTCCTTAATGATTTTTATCAAAATCAGTCTCGTTGGTTTTCCATCCGAAATTGTGTTGCTCCAACTCCTGTCACAGCTCGCAGAAGTGTTTTGCAAGGCTGTCCTGCAAGCCCCGCATTGCTTAATGGACTCATGACAGTTTGGGTCAATGCCATAAAAGTGCGAGTCCCTACAGTTCGACTTGCAGTTTATTTAGATGATAGAACAATTTGGGCAACCGATCGCATGGCTGCTGCAAACGTGCATGAAGCCATGTTGTGTGCCGAGAGTCTTGACGAAGCGCTAGGCTTTGCGCTCCACCCAGACAAGCTTGAAAGTTTTGCCCTGAAAGCCGAGGACCGCCAATATCTTAATGATCGTGCCCTCACAGTTGGGCCTGCCAAAGTTTCATTCAAACTTCTAGGAATTCAATATTTCTTTGGTTCTCATTTCAGATGCCACAAAGATCACAAGTTGCATAAGACCCTCGTTTCCAGGTGCAGAAAGATCCGTATGGTCACACGCAACTTGAACATGCGTCGCCAGCTTGTCCACATTCTTGTTGTGGCCATGCTCAGGTGGATGGGTCCTTGGCAAAGATTTCACAAAGGTACGCTTAAGGGTTGGGCCAGGGCCATCGAAACTGCCATTTGGGGGTATAGCACACCTCCTGGTCGCTCCGGTTATTTGTTCTGGACCGCCATCGCTGGACTTCGCTGTCATCTTGAATGTGCTCTCTCCACTGAAGCCATCATGTATGAATGGAGACGCCAGGTGAATCTTTTTCTTGGAAAATGTACAGTGACGCGCGCCTCGCCGCGAGCGATTGACACTTTCAATTTACTCAATTGGAAAAAATTGCAGAATGATGTTTGGCAAACTCCTTTTGGCCAAATTCGTGTTGGTTGGATTTCAGACTCTGATTTGGCCAAGCTTGTGCGACTTTCCTGGACCAGAGTCCTCTTCCAGTCTGACACTAAAACACTGGAACACTTGCCAGACCACCTCAATCCATACTTTGGTTTCCATAATACTATGATCAAAGAATGTGGTGAGCGATATAAAATGACTGTTCTCATGGCCGCCGCCTCTGATGGACGCATTTTGGAAAGAATGGGTGCGCCTGAAGTGTGCGCTTGTGGCATCAATTCTCCCGACCGCGAGCATCTCACCTTTCACTGCAATGCTGATACCGCTGAGAAGCCTGTACTTAAGACTCACAATGAAACTCGGCTGTTGCAGCCGTTAGTTCCTTTGCCAAACACTCCAATCATTTCCGCATTAACTGCTAATGTTGAGTTGGTTCAGTGCTTACGACAGTTGTACGCTGTCGACCATTCTCCTGTCGTCTTGGCCTTGGATGGCAGCTGTTTGGTCAACCCTGGCAATGATTTATACCAATGGGCATCCTGGGGGATTGTCACCTCCACGAAGCTTTCATTCAACGGACTTTTGACTGGCTGTGTTCACACCCCGGCTGCTGCCGAGCGTGAAGCTCTGGTGCAAGCCATGCTGGCTGCACATTCTGCAGCTGTGCCTGTGCGTTTGCTCATCGACAATGAGGCAATTGTCAAGCGCCTCCTCCGAGGATTGCGTTTTGGCAACTGGAACGGCGATGCTGCCGGTTTCTGGTCCTATATCGCCATGCTTGCCACTCATGGTGTGGAAGTGATGTGGGTACCTTCCCATGACAAAAAGCCCTTGTGGACACCTGTGCTTGACTGGAACCTTTCCGCTCAAGAGTGCAGAACGTTGAACGAGTTGGCTGACCTTGCGGCCGCTCAAATTACCGACGCCAAGCGAGATGATTTTGTTTTTTGCAAGAACATTCTCACTGATGCTCACCTGTGGGCTGCCTCTGTCTTTCTTAGACAGTGGAAGACTACTCGACCTTTTCATAATTCTGTCATTGCATTGCAGAAAGCGAAGCATCGATTTCCAGTGCCATCCTGAAGCTTGACTTCTGACTGCCTGAGTTTTTCGGCTCCTCTGTGTTTTCACTTATTTTTTTGCTAGAGCCTCTGTGGCTCTCATGGCTACTTAACCACAGCTTCGGCTGGCAGGTTGTATGTCTCAATTCATTCATTCATTCCACACGCCTTCAGACTGTAACAGGTGCGTGGCAGAAGTTGCTGTCAGTCATGTCAGTTGGTGAGATCGTGCATAGCCTGAAACAAGGGCTCTTGACACTGCTGCAGCATTTGCGCGCGATGGATGTTGACAGACACTTTTGTGATCGGACCTCTGGGGAATTAGCGAGCGAAAATTATGACATTTGGGTTTGGATGACGAAGGTCACGCCTTGAGCTGGTACAGCCTTTGGGCTTCAAATGTGAACCTGTGGCTCAGGAGGAAATGTTTACAGCTGTGTCTTTTGCAGCTGCAGCCAGTACCCAAGGGACTCAACATGTGTTTTCGATATGTCGTCTGGGTGCATGCTGCCAGTGCGAAGATCCAACCAGACTGCTGATGTGCGTGAAAAACAAACGCTTCAACGCCAAAGGAGCCATGGCAAAGAGATCATGGCCATTTGGTGTCACGAGTTGGGATGACACAGTGAATTTGCCTAGGTGAATCGGATATGTTTCGAGGAATGGACACTAAGAAGTCATGTGGAATTTGGTTTGGCTGAAACATACTTTGTCTGAAACAAAGAATTTGGTTTGCAAGTTCTTTGTCGATTCAACTGCACAAGATATTGGTATGCTGAATACAGTTTGATTGGCAGTGATTCATTTGAAGAAGTCGAAGCGGTTTCTGGATGCTCACCTGCCAGAAATCACAACAGCCATGCGCACGTGCACGCCTGCTGCTCCTTTGTCCGAGGATCACTTGGCTCAGCTGCGCACTCGCAAAATCGAAAATTGCAAGAAAGAACTAACCACGGACTTGTTCAAGCATGGTCACGTCATTGGAATGTATTGGGAGAACATTGCTCGCAGCATGGTGGAACGGGCAAATCGAGATGCGCAAGACCTGGATGTGCCGTTATTTTGTTTGCAAGCTGCTGACCAAAGGCATTCCAGAAAAAATAAAGCCATAGACAAGCAGCTGACACATCAGCTGCTCTCTGTTCCAAACCCGCATCGCACTGGCAAATTGCAAGGCATGCTACTGGTGCACGAGAACATGGTTGTGCGACTGGCGGATGTCTTGGCTCCACACCTTGGATTGGTTAAAGACAAACTGGCAGTGGTAGTGAAAGTGGGTTTGCACCATGAAGATCAGAAGCGCCTGGACCGTTGGACGGAGGTGTGCTGGTTGATTTGCGTCGTGGTGGTGGCCTAGAGGATGCCGACTGGTGGCTAGCCATCTATGTCATGCTGACGCGTGCCCGCAAACTGAAGAATCTCATCTTGCTGGGGTTCACGGAGCAAGTGGAGGAGCTTTTACGCAGAGGCCCTCCTACCTACTTGCGAGAACTGACTGACAAGTTGGAAACCAAAGCTGCTTCGACGCTGGAGCGGCTGCAGTCCTGGCCTGTCTATGATGCATTGCAAGCATCCTGACACAGTGCTCTGCCAGTGGGACCTAATCGGTTTTGACTGAAGAGGTCCGGGGGAGGCATAGGCCTGACACGTTGCTCTACCTGTGGGACCTAATCGGTTTTGATTGAAGAGGTCTGGTGGAGGAATAGAGAGTTGCAGCTGCAGCGATCTGGTGAAGTAACACTGGCATGGTTTTGTCTAGTTTACACACGAGCTTGCGAGCTTTTGACTTTGGTTCAGGTGGTCCACTGGCTTGTTTCAGTCATGTTTTTACAAACATGTTTGACAGGCGGTGTGCTGACATGTTTGGGCATGTTTGTTTGTTTGGCTCAGGTGGTCCACTGGCCTGTTTGGTCATGTTTAAGCAAACCTGTTGAGAGCTCTGGAGTTTACTTCACATGGCCCACTGACATGTTTATATCCTGTTTGACAGACTGACATGCACAATGACCTGCCAGGTGAAACAAATGATTGGGATAGTTAGTTGGGCAAAAGTCCCGTGACAAAAGCTTCAGACAAAAGTGGTGTCAACAAGCTGTTTTGAAATGTCATGGTGGGGATCACTCGAAGCAAAGTAATTTGTTTGATTTTTCTTTGCAAAGGCATTGATATGACAATGTGGGCGTGTCTGAAAATGAGGTAATTATACCACCAAACTCGCATTTGTTTCAAGAACATGATGTTTTCAACGGAATGGGGTAGCCTATGGTACCCTACGGTACCTGATTCTCAAACAGGACCCGACGTTCCCGCTCCTTTCATCCAGGTCTTTCATGGCACCACGGACTGCAGTACTTTAGACCTTCAGAAGGACATCGTGCTGAAACGGGGCTACGTCACTTGGAGCCGATGGGAAGCACTGGATTCCTCAGTCTTTTTGGGAACGAAGCCGGCAAAGCCTTTAAAAAGCGGATGCAAAAGAGATACAGTACAAGCTTTATGATAATGCCGGAATAGAAAAAACATGGGATTTGTTTATAATTAACTATTGAATATATGAATATGGGGACCTATAGCAGTAAACATCGGGATTTACTTGATTTGTGCTATTTAGAGCCAACTTGTTTATGGGGAGATACCTGGATGTAGTATGATGTAATTAATGGGTTATTTGACCAACAAGGTGATATGTGGCTAAAAGGAGTATAAGACCCACCATTTTATGGTAAATAAGTGGGGACATAATGGGACATATAGCCGACACAATAACATGGTGTTGTGCCTCAAGGCGTGGACTACTCATGTTTAGGCAATGATCATCCAGAAAATGTTGATAAGCAATGAACTTTTGGAGTGCCCTATTTTCAGGCAAAATAATGGACAAATGGTTCAGCATTTGGTTCTAGAATCCAGTCATACTCCGTTATTAATTCCAAAGGCCCCTTTTTTGCAAGACTTGACACCTGCCATCATCGAACCCAAAAAGAGCAGGGCCAGCTGAAGATGTTTTTTTTGTCATCCTTACCGTTGTTGAGTTGTTTCATAGTTTTTCTTTAAACATGTATTACGGTAAAACCGAGACTTCACATGCAGTAAATTGCTGATTGATATCAAAATATCTGTTGGCAATCAAACATAGCAATATATATATATATATAGTTGGTTGGCGGTTTGGAAGATTTTTTATGTTCCATATATGGGATGTCATCCTTCCCATTGACTAATATTCAAGATGTTTAAAACCATCAACCAGATAGCAACAGACAATCCACTGTTGATTTCGACGAGTTTCCCAGCGAATGATTTACCTCCATGTAGGACACCGGTATTTCCCAGCGAACCAGGACACTAATGGGGGTATCTCCCATGAAGAATCCCCATGGTAGATTCCTATGGTTCATACATCCCCATGATAGATATTCTTTGATATTCCCATGATATTGTTCCATTAAACCACAATGGATTTCCATGATATTCCCATGATCTTCCCGTTATATCACGAAAGGTAGCCTCCTAGCGGGCTACCTTGAGTTTTACTTTGCGAAGCAGACCCCTTATCCTTGAACGACCAATAGAAAGGGACCCCCCTGTGATTTATTTTGTTTTACGTGTCTCCACAATGCATTCATGCATGTTGACATGTACACTTAATTCACATCTTTCATGCGCACTCCGCATGGCTCAAGACTAGCAGCAATTCCGCAGCATAGAAAAGTGTCCGCCGCTCATCGCTTGCTACAGGTGTTTAGATTAGTTGTCCAGGGCTCCCCTAATAGAGGGATAGCTACCTCAAAGTGGTAGCGGAGCCTGTGCCTTCGCCAAGTCTAGATCCGTGTGCCGAACTGCCGTTCTCTGCATACATTCCGTATATCGGACTTGCGGAGGCAACCTGTAGGTCAAGTTAGAGTAGCTGCCATGGTCTTAATCCACAACATGGATTCAGATGAAGAACAACTCCAGATTGTCTCTTATGAAGAGCCTGAAGCATATGCCGCCACCAGTCATTCCGAAAACCGGATGGGCATCAAAATGACACCAAAGGTTCCACCCCAATTTGATGGCCAATCAAGCTGGTTTGAATATGAAGATTTAATTGATGACTGGTTAGGGATCACAACATTGGATGCAGATAAACACGGACCATCATTAAAGAATGCCCTCATTGGTTCCGCTTCTTTTTATAAGTCGATGCTCGATAATGCCCTACTCCGAGATCCGGATCGTGGCCTCGCTCATTTCAAGGACACATTGAGACCATACTTCGTGAAGGGAGTAAATCATGTGTTCCTTTGGCGATTCCTCCAGATGTTTCGCACATATCGAGGCCAGAGTGAATTCGTGCACTGGATAGGGCGATTTGAGATCGCGCAGAAGCGTTTGTTGGCTTCTTGGTCCGATCTGCTGGACATATCCGATCTCCCCGAGGCAGGCACTCAGGCATTTACGGCAGCACTCACAGATGAGCAAAGACTGCACTATAATGGAATAGTAACAGATGAAGATAAGCTAGCTTATCAACAAGAACTGAGAGAACAGACCATAACCAATAGAAGGACCAGACATGCACAGCAGTTTCCATTGTCAGACAATTTGATGTCACTGATTTTTCTAGTGCAAGCAGACCTCAACGAGCAACAGCGAGAGCGCTTTGTCTCGTCCATGAACATCCGTCAGATTGCAATGCCTCAATACACCTATCTCCAAGTGAAACAGCTGTTCTTAGAACTTTTTGCCGTTTCCCGCACAGGTGTTGCAGACCCAAATATCACGCACCGCAAGCGGTCCAACTTCTACGTCATCGACGAGGGCGAGACCGAAGAAGGTGAGTACGGATTTTGGGTTTTTGATGAAGAGACGGGTGAAGAAGGTTTCACAGGTCTGTACACGGAGAACGAGTTCTGGGTTCTCAGCGCCAAGGGTTCATACTCTAAGCGCCGCATCTACGGCAGGTCCTCCAAGAAAGGTAGACCAAAAGGTTATGGCAAGAAAGGAGGAAAGAAATCAAGACCCGGCTTCCGCTCGAGGTCAAAAGGCAAAGGTTTTGCAGCATGGGAAGATGACCAGCAAGACACGGCTTTCTGGGGAAAAGGCAAGGGCAAAGGAAAAAGTAAAAAGGGCAAGAAGGGAATGATGAAAGGAAAGGATTCTTTCAAAGGAATGCCTTCATGGAAAGGAAAAGGAAAAAGTGATGCGAAGAACAAAGGAGGAACCACTCCATTTTTGTCACAACCTCCACAAGCTAATGTAGCACAGACTGCATCATCCAGTGCATCACATGCCCCTGAAAAACAAGAGACAGCCCATGCCGAAGAAAGCTGGAGTTACGACTATGACACCTACTGGACAGACGACTGGTCAGGTTATGAATCCTACTATGGATATGACGGAGATTACTCCCAAGGTGATTGGTACAATTGGTCGTATTTTACTTCCGCTGAGGAACTGACCGACTTCGAGGACAAGCATTCAGACGTCAATTTCGAGGACGGACAGACCGACAAGATCAACCGGTTCTGTTTTTCAGGCATCCGCTTGTTCCGATTGTTCGGACACGAACTTGTAGAGGCCCTCACATTCGTGCTTCTGTTCGTGTCTGTGATGTACCAGTGCTTTTCTGATTTGAACAGGTCCCTATTGAAGAGCATTCGCCAAGTTGAGAAGAGTGTTTCTACCGAAAACGGTGATCTGCATTCGTTTCAGCCGTGCACAAGCCCGCTCGATTCCGTCTCTACGGAAGAGTGTGTATTCCTAAATTATGATCATGGTGCCCAACAAGCATTGCTTTGTGAGTATGTAGATTTAGGTTCTCATCCGACTTATGTCATCCTTGACTCAGGTTGCACTCGAGCCATGGGATCCCGCTTTGCCATTGATCGCCTTGTACAGGCTTGCCAGCAACATCCCAAGCGTGATCACATTTGGTTTTCTAAGCAACCGTGTTCAAGTAAGTTTTCATTTGCCAATGGAGAACAATCTACTGTCAAGGAAAGATTAGTGATTCATTTTCGCAATGATCGTGCACAAACTGGTTGGATCACAACATGCGTTGACATCCTGGACAAAGGTAAGGTTCCTATCCTCTTTTCAGTTGAACAAATGAGGAATCTTCGCATGAACATTGAACACACTCCTGTAGGTGAGTTCATGACTTGTCCACTGTTTGGAATGCAGCGCACCGCATTGGCGGTCAGTACATCCAACCATCCAGTCCTTGACATTATGGCTCTTGCTACTTCCAGTTGGAAACCGATGTACAGCTTTCAGTCCGAAGACATCACATGCCCAGCATGCAATGGTAAACATCGACCACACACAAACAAGGAAGGTTGCAAGAGATTCAAGGGATCAGAGCCTAAGCCTGCAGAGGTGCCGAAACCGGCCAAGCCTGATTCTAAGAAGATTGTCAAGAAAACAATTCAGCCTGATAGCAAGTTAGAAGTACCAGCTCAACCTTTTGATCCCGATGAAGAGCCAATGGTGGCCTCTGGGCCAAGTTCCGGTTCGAAGGACGGTATCCCAAGACGTCGGGAACCTCAGATTGAAGAAGAACCTGAAGTTAAACCGGAATCCAAGGTTGAAGTGAAACTTGAAGAGAAAAAGGAACCGTCACCTAAGGGAACTTTGTCACTTGCACTTCAGAGAATTCATGATAAGCTTCAATCACCTACTGAACTTCTCAAGTTGCACTTGAAGCATTATCACATGACCACCGAACAATTCAAGAGAAGAACATCGGCTCTGAAGTTACCAAAAGAAATTTATGACAAGTTTGATCAGATTACCAAATCATGTGACACATGTTCAACTGCCAGGATTGCACCATCAAGAGCTAAGGTTTCAGGAATACGAAGTGAAGTCTTTGGTGAACTTACATTCATTGATCATGGAGAAGTCCCTATCAATCCTCAGTCAAAACTTCAATTCCTACTTATGTATGACGGTGCAACCTCTTTGACTACTGCCTTTGTAGTTCAAAACAGATCTGATCCGGTGACGATTTCTCATCTTCAAGAATACTTTGAAACTTATCAGCTGAATCCAAAATACATTGTAGCCGATCAAGCTTTTATGGGCACTGAGATGGAGAGTTATTACAACCGGCACAGCATCAGGCCAATCTCTCTAGGACCAGGAACACCATGGCCAAATCGAGCTGAAGCAGCCATTCGCATGTTTAAGAAACAGGTCTCATTAATGCTAATTTCCTTGAAAAATGATCCATTGCTTGCCAACATTACTTACAAACAGTTGTTGAGACAAGCCTGCATTTCAAGGAACACCATGGTAACACTCGGTGGTGTTACTCCTATTGAATTAGCATTTGGTCGAAGGCCTGCCGATCTTACGGCGATTGAGCTCATGAATCCAGCACAGCTCACGACTGAGGCCCCTGCT